GGGTCATGATAGGGGGGGGTGAGGAAGCCTCGAGGAACCAGAGGGATATTGTATGTTTCATCTGTGCTATACTGCACCCTGTCTGGTTCATCTCTTCCTTGTAACCCTTCGGTGAGGGGATGCCCCATTGTCTACAGATGGGTTTTGGGTCTCTGCTCTGATGCCTCCTCATTCTCAACAATATGTTTTTGATTTGCTTTTCATTTGTTTATTTGTTTTGGGTCTTCTGATGCCTTATGCCTGTTACCCAATCCCGTTGACACTGCATGATCACACAGGCTGGTGTGCTTCTTTCATGTGGGCTTGTTGCTTCTTAGAAGACATTTTAAAATAAAAAATACCATTCTGATTATAAGGATCTTGGTGGGCCAACGGTTGGACTCTTAACATAAATGTCAGCAGTTTAAACTCATTATCTGCTCTATGGAGGAAGATGACATGTTCTATTCCCGTAATGATTTTTAGCCTCAGAAATGCTGTGGAGTAGTTCTACACTCTATATGTCAACTCAGTGGTTGTGTGAGTCTGGGTAGATTAGAAAAACAGATTTATAGACACTCATGTGTATATGAAAGAGCTTTATATCAAAGAACAATTATACATTGAGAAAACATCCCAGCCCAATCCAGATCAAGTCCTTTAGTCTGATATTAGCCCAGATGTCTGATACCAATCTATAAATTCCTCTTCAGACTCACACAGCACATGTAATGACACCGAATGCAGGAAGATCACAGGCCAGTGGGTGGAAAGTCTTGTGGACCCAGTGGCAGTGGAAGCATCTCAACGCCGGCAGAGGTCTCCACAGGGCTCCTTTAATCCCAGGACTTTAGAGTAACTTCAAGTGTCTTGTCAGCAGGAATGTCTCTCAGGGGGCGAGTGTGTGTCCTGCCTCCAGGAAGCTATTTATCTCTGTAGCGTCACCAAATGATGTCATCAAGCTGTAACCTGATTGGCAGGCTAAACTCCACCCCTTCACTCTTAAAAGTCTCAAGTTGACAACAGATTATGTAACTACTACAGTGGTCATGGGATTTTTCTCTGTTCTGATTATAGTGAGAGTATATATTAAAGAAGTCTGCAAAGTGGAAGCAGGAGTCCTGGTGCTTAAACCTCCAGGTCTGCAGCTTGAAACCTAGTTACTTCTCAAGAGAAAGATGGGACTTGCAACGCTGGCAGAGTTATGATTTTAGAAGTTCACAGCGGTAGTTCTATCCTGTCCTGGTCAGCATTGACTCGATGCCAATGAGTTTGGCTTTTTTGGTTTTGGGAAGTTGAAAGGGAAAAAAATTACTTAACTATGTCTTATAGAGGAAATCTTTAACCATTAAGCAGTGTGTTTGAAATACTTAAAGACTTATATTGATACTGAAAACTTGCTTTCCAGGAAGCTCACAATACTGGTTATAAATATAACTCTTTTCTCACACTTATAC